TCACCATATGGCTGTAAGAACCATGAAGAATTTCTACCCATTCACAACAGCTTTAAAAAATTCAAATACTTAGGAATTAACCTAAGCAAGGAAGCGAAAGACCTCTATAAGGAAAACTATAGTATTCCAAGAAAAGAGATTGAAGAGACTATTGAAAATGGAAAGACATTCCCTGTTCCTGGGTAGGCAGAAACAATATTGTCAAAGTTACCTTTCAACCAAACTGATTTATAGATTTCATGCAATTCTTGTCAAAATGTCAACAGCACCCATCACCAAACTAGAAAAATACAATCATAAAATGTATATGGAACCAGAAGAGACACAGAATGGCAGAAGCAGTCCTCAGCAACAAGAATAGAGCAGGAAACATCACAATCCCAGATTTCAAGTTATATTTCAAAGCTGCAATGATAAAAACAGTACGGTATTGACATAGAAACAGGTGTGTGGAACAATGGAACAGAATAGAGGATGTAGAAACAATCCCGGACATATTCAGCTATCTGATTTTGACAAAGAAGCCAAAAAACATGCTGGAGAAAAGACAGCTTCTTTAATAAATAATGCTGGGACAACTGGCTAGGCACATGCAAAAGAAAGACTCGAGACCCATGCCTCTTACCCTGCACTAAAATCAAATCAAAATTCGTCAAAGAGGTTAAAGAGAAAAATCTGCTGGGAAATTAAAAAATAAACAAACTTCTGCACAGCAAAGAATATAATCAACAGAGTAAAGATACAACCTGAAGAATGGGAAAAACATTTTTCCAGCTATTCATTAGAAAGAGGACTAAGATCTAGGACATATGAATAACTAAAAAATTAAACTTCTGCAAAGACCCAATCAAAAGATAGGCAATCAAAATGAACAAACATTTCTCAAAAGAAAAAATACAAATAGTTAAAAAAAAATATGAAAAATGCTCAGCATCTTTGGTCATTAGAGAAATGCAAGTCTAAAACTACTGAGACTCATCTTACCCCAGAAAGAAGGGTTATCATCAAGAACTCAAAAAACAACTGTAGGTCAGGTGTGGGGAAAAAGGAACCTTGTATATTGTCGGTGGAACTGTAAACCAGTGACACCATTGTGGGAATCAGAATATAGGCAGATTGCTCAGAGCACTAAAAATAGAGATTCCATTTAAAGCAGCTCTATTCCTTTTTCCAAAAAGAGTTAAAACATTGTATTACCATGAAACATGTACACCTATGTTTATAGCAGCACTGCTCATAATAGCTAAACCTTGGCAATGACATATAGGTCCACCAACAGAAGAATAAAAATGGAGTACTACTCAGCCATAAAAAGGACAAATTTGAGTAGAAAAATGAGGGCTGGTCAGACAGCTCAGCAGACTAAAGCATCAGCTTAGGCAGAGCGAAGCAGCCAGGGTTCAATCCCCAGCATGCGTGCGGCGCTGGCCCCACCTCCAGGGGGCAGGCTGAGATGATTGAGACTAGGCGTGGTGGCATGTGCCTGTAATCCCAGCACTTGGGAGGCTGAAAACTGGAGACTCACTAGAGTTCGATCAGGGTGAGACCTTTAGACCCTGTAGGCCCTGTACTAAATACATAAAATTTTTTAAAAAATTAAAAAAAGAAAAATAAATGTATTTTTTGACCATAAAGCAAAGCGAAATAAGTCAGACACAGGAGAAAGAAAAGGAGAAGTAAAAATAATTAAGATAGGATATGGATATGCAGCATCTCTCCAGGTGAATGTATTCATTATATATCACAAACATGTACTAATAAAAAGTTTTATTTTATTATTTTTTGGTTTTTTTATATATTAGGGAAGGGTCTAGAGGGTGTTTGGGGTCTCACTACTAGATCGGACTCATAGTGATCCACCTGTTTACAGCCTCCCAAGAGCTGGGATTACAGGCCTGAGCCACCACGTCTAGTCTCAACTGCTGTCTCAGCAAGCCCCGGGGGCGGGGCTGGCACAGCAGGCTGGGGCATGAACCCCTGGCCCCTGTGCCTGCTTGCAAGCACTTTAATTCACTGAGATATGCATATTTTTAAAAATGATTTCTAAAGTAATACACTTATGAAGTGAATAAACAGCTTCTAATTTATCTGGCCATAGACAACAGACACAATTATTTTAAAAATGATGAAAATTAACATTTTTCTACCATAAAAACAAGGTTGGCTAAGGTTAGAGAAAAATATTAAAAATTTTCCTCAGTGAAAAGAAACTAGAAGAGAGGATTTTTTTCCTTATTACACAAAAATTATGAGAGGTCACTGTCTTGGATTGACCTCTTGCACCACGACCCAAAAGACCGTACGAAAGCAAAAATGGAATCATTCATGCTAAATAATCAAATTGAAATAATGTAAAAACAAATGGCAATGTTAGGGAAGCAGAGAGACCATTAAACAAACCAGTTTTTCCTGAAAGAATTAAAAAAAAAAAAATCAGTGTACTTCATTCAGTAAGCATGACACGTTTCTGTTTTAATCTTTACCAGAAAAATGAACAGCAGTAATGTGATGCCAACCAGCCAATCAAGTAGTAGTATGTGTGTGTGTGTGTGTGTGTGTGTGTGTGTGTGTGTGTTTGAAACTATTCTATTTCCTGTTCCTACCTTACAACACCCTCAACTCTTCCTTTTTCCCAGTGGAACTTGTCATTCCGTGTTTTGTTGTTTTGAGTGTTTTCTCAATGTCATTCTGTTTTATAGAATAGAGCTTCCAAATTCATCAATCATAAATAAAAGCCATTAGCTCAGTAGTCACATTTATTGTATAATTTAGTCTTTTGACATCCCTAAGTTGGGTCAAACTTTCCAAAAAGTAACTGAGGAATTGTCAGGGTGAGGTGGGGGTGGGGCTGGGAAAAAATAACAAACGCAAAGGAGACCCTAGAATGAATTTTAGAATAGGGGAAAGACACTAGTGGAAAAAAATGATAAAATACAAAGAAAGTCCGTAATTTAGTTCAACAGCAAACAAAAACCCTCAAAAGGAAAATGAGAAATTCACAAAGAAGTTTCAGTACATGAAGCCCTCTCTAGGGATTTATCACATACCCTCTGCATCAGCACGACCCACAACAGTGAAGAGTCAACATTCTAGGACACCTTTCACTCTTACCAGGTTCTTCTGTATATTGAACGGATTGCTGCACTCAGCCTAGTTCTTCCTCCTAGAACTACACATACTGCATTAAACCCAATTCCTCTTTCTCTTGATCTAAATCATTTCCTTTGAAGCGGGACACACCCAGATCCCTTTGTATTATACATCATGATGTTTACACCTCCATCATTCTTGTTACACAAACTTTAAAATTCATTAAACCTGTCAGTCAAAGCTCACCAGTACAGACTACTATAGGCTATTTTCCTTCATGTTCCGAACACCGTGCTTCTGGGCCTAAACCTGACCTCCCATCTTAGCAGCTCCATCATTGTTGGCTGTGGATGAATTCACAATCACCCATTCCAGTCTTTTTTTCCAGATGAATTCCTATGGCAGAACTGTCAGGAGTCAGGATGAGAGAGCAAGTATAGCTGCTAACATCATTTTGCCATTTAATTCTCTCAAAAACAAATAATTTGAGTGCTAACTATGTGCCAGGCAATTGCACTTTTATGCTGACCTATGCTTAAATTTGCTATGGTCTCAATGTTTGCGTTCCCCTCAAATTCATACGCTGAAATCCTAATTCTCAGGGTAAAAGAATTAGCGGATGGAGCCTTTGAGTGTGATTAGGTTATGAGGACATTAACCTGGGTGGAGTTAGTGGGCTTTACATGAGAGACCCCAGAGAGACCTCTGGCCTCATCCAGGAAGAAAAAGAACCTTCAACCCCTTACAAGGAAAAGCACTGTGTAGGAAGCAGGCCCTCACCAGACACAGACTCTGCCCAAGTCTTAATCTTGGACTTCCCAGCCTTCTAAACTTAGACATAAATTTTGTGTAGCATTTTGTTATAGCAATCCCCACAAAGCCAATTATCCAAATATAACCAAATAACTCATTTCAATAAAATGTATATAAGGTTGAAGCACAAAATATACAAGGTAGTTCCCAAACATTATCCATTTCCCAAATCTAAAATATTGTGCAATAGCTATTTATTTATTTATGTATTTATTTATTTATTTATTTGTCTTGTGAGACAGGATCTCCCAATGCAGTTCAGGGTGGCCTTGAGCTCACTTTGTATCCCAGGCTGTTCTCAACTCATAAGATCTTCCTGTCTCAGCCTCTCAAGTGCTGGGATTACAGGCATGTGCCACAACCTGGCCCTATCTTTTTAAGGGTAGATTATTACTACCAATCAAATACCACTTAGGTGAGACACTTTAGTATCTTGACCCAAATGATACTAAGGCTACTTTTCCTAAGACCTCTTCATATAATAACACTGGCAAGCAGTAAAGTGAGACATCCACGACACTCTCGTATAAAAGAGAACCTTCGTTCATCTATGAGCTTTACCTGGGTCATAAACCACATCTGAAAAAGCTACATGGTCATACGTACACATTTTAAAAGCTGTGATGCACTCCCTTCCAGTAGCCCAGGCGTCAGAGCTAGGCTTCTCCAGAGCTCGGCGAGGGCAGGAGTCATCTATTATACAAAGCCAACTCATTACTTCCTCACATCTGGCATCATCCATCTATTTTCTGATCTTTCACCCTCAACATCCCAAAGCTCTCTGAAGTCAAAGCATCAGTCAATTTGTCAGGTAGAGAAAATGTTTAGAACACGTGCCCTACGATGCTCCGCTGTCCACAATAACCAAAAGGCGTGCTCGTTTAAGGATCGCTTGAATCCCCAGTACTGCACAAAGGGTCTCGATCTTAAAAAGAAGTATTTGCACAGCAGCTTGCCCATAACTGTCGCTCTGGGGTCAACGCCAGCAACACGATCAGCTCACAAGACCCTCAGGCCAAGCCCCGGGAGCCCCGGGAAGGCTGGGGCTACTGGGGAGGGCGGCGCCGTGGGGACCCCCGCCCCGCCGCGCCCCTCACCTCTCTTGTCCATGAGCCACATGAACGCGAAGCAGGGCAGGAAGCCGATGGGGCCCCACAGCACGAGCAGCGCGATGTCCCAGCTGGAGAAGCCGTAGGCCTGGCGCGCCGAGTTCTGGATGGGGCCCCAGGTGTTCCACACCAGGCCCTGCGCGAAGGCCAGCAGCGAGAAGAGCAGCAGGACGAGCCAGCGGCGCCCGTACACCCGCCCGGGG